AATGTCTACCTTTACATTTCCAACCCTCACAGTCAGTCCTGATAGCAATTTTTCACTATTGTGCCACATGAGTGCTATCCCCTTCTCCTTTCATCAGCCCCGCCCAGACAGACTGGATACTACTCAGTGGAGATTCTACCTTTCTCCACGCCCTCTGGATCTAGGGTCCCTCTTGAAAGCTTGTAAGCCAGACACTTCTTGCCTCTGTAGCATCCCCATTTTGGGTAGCCAATATCTAAGTTGTCCATGCCTGTCTACCCTGTGTATCGAGGGGGTGAGGGGGTGGGAATGATCCTCACTGTAAAGATCTGTTGCCTCTTTTGAGCTACTGCATCCATAGGTGTAGGTCAAGTTCATCAAATTGTATCAAATTATTTCCCCTCCCCCCCCTTCTTTCTTCTTCTTGTTGAGTTCTGATCATCCAGCCATTGAAGACAGGTCAAGTGGGTATTATCTGCAAATGTGGGTGTTTTTGTGCATATGCCCTCTCTTCTTACCCTTTGAAATTTTCTGTTCTGCTCTTTCACCTCCTCATTTCTTCCTTTTACTTTAACATGTCTACCCTGGAAAGCAAGTTTCAGAGTCTCTTGTGACATCCATTTTGGTCGTTTCCTTCTTTCTTGTCTTCTTAATGACCTTTTGCTTTCTTCCTATATGATGTTTTTTAGATGTCATCCCACAACTCTTCTGGTCTTCGGTCATTAGTGTCAAATCAGTTCTTGAGATGATCTCTAAATTTAGTTGGTATATATTCAAGGTCATATTTTGGCTCTCATGGACTTATTTTAATTTTCTTTAGCTCCAGCCAGAACTTGCATATGAGCAATGATGATCTGCTCCACAGTCTATCCCGGTCTAATTTTAGCTAATAATATTGAGCTTTTCCACTGTCTCTTTCCACAGTTGTAGTCAATTTGATTTCTGTGTATTCCATCTGGTCTGTTCCATGTGTATAGTCATCTTTTATCTTGTCTAAACAAAGTATTTGCAATGAGTAAATCACTAGCCTTATGATCTATCATATGATCTCCAGTAACATTTCTATCATCATCAAGGCTATATTTTCTGTCATAAACCATATGAACATCCAATTCAAAATGGTCAATACCAGTCCATTTCAGCACACTAGTGACTAGAATGTTGATCTTTATGGATTCCATTTATGCATACCATTTCCTTTTTTTGATGACTTCTAGTTTTCCTTGATTTATTCTTAGCACATTCTATGATGGGATTATTAATGGATATTTATAGCTGCTTCTTGCAATTTTAAGTTGTGCCCCATTAGCAAATGAAGGGTCTGAAAGCTTTACTCCATCCAGGTCATAAGGTCAACTCTACTTTGAGGAGTCAGCTCTTCTCCAGTTGTACTTGGAGTGGTGGTCCAATACACAGCAACCCTCCATAAAGTTTCAGAGGGTATAAATCTTTATGGGAGCAAAAAGCCTCATTTCTCTCCTGTGGAGCAGCTGGTGGTTTAAACTGCTAACCTTGTGGTTAACAGTCCAGTGGTTATCGTACTGTACCAGGACTCTTTGGTATTCAAATAGCAGTGGTGGTGGTGGTGTGCTGTGAAGTCGGTTCCAACTCATAGCAACCCTGTACAAGGTTTCTCAAGAGTAGTTGGTGGGTTTGAAATGCTAATCTTGCGATAGCAGCCTAGTGCTTATGCTACAACACCACAGTATGATACAGGTACTTTAAAAGAAGAAAGTGGAAATGATATATGTGCTAGAGGAAATGACACTTGCACTAGAGGGTAGACACTCGTTGAAACAGGTGACGGGAAAGGCACTATACAACTGGAGGAAGGTTGGCAGAGGAAAGATGGGGGTGGTGGGAGACACAGGGAGGAATGCAGGGGTTAAAGTGAATAGAGGTAAATGCTATTAACTGTTGGTTCGTGGAAGGGATTGCTACCATATAATGAAACAAAGTATATGATTTGTTGAATATAAACTGATCATCACTCTATAAACCTCTCAATTCACAATTTTAAGAAAAAGGAGAAGAAACTAACTATAGAAAGAAGTCTCCCAGAACTAATGACATTTGAGCTAGAAACAGCAGAGTTTGCCACATAAAAGGGAATACCGATACACAAGCAAATCATTATTTAAGAACAGTTAAAATTTAATGAACTACTATAATAAATAATGAATTCTAGCTTAAAGATTAAAGTGATAAAAGATCATGCAACGTATGCTAGCTTTATTACCGATACCTGAATATCTAGTTGTTGTTGTTGTAGTTTTTCAAGATGCCTAAAGTGTTGCTCCATAAACACATTCATGTGCTTTTCATGATCACGACAATGAAGGGTCTCGTGTTTATTCTGAATGTTTGCTTGCTTTTCTGTAACACGTTGCAACTGTTTATCAGTCTCTTGTAACTTATTAATTAATTCTGTAACAGAATTAACTTTAGCTTCCAAATCACTCTGTACCTAAAATTGAAATATCAAAATAAAATTATAGATACCAAAAGTATGTTCAATTACTAGAAATGTTATTTAAAGCAATTGGTATGGGAAAATGCTAGAACTTTCATTCCTTGAATAGTTGATTACTCAATGCCCTTATTATTAGAATCACAGAAGAAAAAAAAAAAAGAGGAAATAGGTATCATCAGGTAGATGATTCCTTCTTTCCCCACCAAAAAATTATACCAAATTTGTTACCTAGAATTTTATAATGCCAGAAATACAATGGTTCTTAAATGGAAATTAAAAAAGTAAAAACTAGCAAGACAAAGCTGCTTTTGATACTTTACTAAAGATAAACATGAGTTAAGTTTGTTCTTTGAGTTCTGGCCAATCTTTCTTATACTACCTATTAGCACTAAGACACTGTTCCTGTTCTGACTGATTTCTATTTGTCCATTTGCAAACTGAAACTTCGGAGTTAAAACAGATCATCTCTAAAATCCCTTCTCACTCGAATCTTCGGGTGACCAACTGTCCCCAGTTGCGCAGGAATTAGAGATTTCCCAACATGCAGGACTTCAGCACTAATACTAGAAAAGTCCTAAGTTAACGATCACTATCACAGCAATCCTGTCTAACATCACTATCACAGTAGTGAGGGACAATTCTCACACCTCCCAAAAGTAAATACAAGTTATTCAAATTAAAAGCAACTAGAATGACTTTAGTCTAGTTGGATACAATCATTTATAGAATCAGTTCTTAAATGTTTTTACATTTTACAAAGTAGCTACACATGTTTATGAAGAAAACTTATACTTTGATGAGTGGAGCTGCTGTTGCTATGGCAGCGGCAGTTGCTGCAGCCACAGTTGTAGCTGAGTCAAGTCCACTGGGTGAAGTTCTAGTCTCCTGAGGAACAGTGTCCTTCTCTGCCCCTGCATCTTCTAAAAGCTGTACCTTGACTTCCTTAAAAACAGGCATGCTTTGAGCTCTATAAATAAAAAGAGGAATAAAAGTGTATTTAGTAAGTTACACTGAATAATCTAAAGAAATATCTACAATTGGTATTTTGCTGAAGGTAAAGCTTTCTTTTTTTGAAAACTGTATCATCTGTTTTTCTGCATCAGCAACATATCAAAGTTATCTGGCTAATGTAAATGTATTAAGGATCAGGTCAAAGTGTCCGAAATATTTAAGAAAGAAGATTATACCCTAAGGGCAAGGATCTTATTTCAGAAAATGAGACTCACCCGTATGAAAAAACCATGAGTAAAACTACAAAGAAATATATTCTAGAAATACAAATTTAAAACACAGAAAAAGCTCTAGGAATTAAAGTATCATATTTTACTCCCAATGAAGTCAACTCAAAAGGAATTGTTAGAACTGCTGAAAGCAACTACTAAAACTTCTAAAAGGAGTTCTCTAAATTCCAGTTCACTGATATTTACTTAATAAATGATAGCCAGTTGATTAGCAGGGATACAAGGCAGAATATTAGGCAGCCTGGTTGAAAAAACAGTCCAGTAAACATCTAGGTATATTTTCAGTAAGGTATTTAATTACATGCTAAAGAAATGGTCAATTTTACTCGATTTTGAGGCCTAGAAGATAACAATATAAGGAACCATTAACAAAACTAAAGAGTGCCTAGGTAACTCTAAGTAAAATTGGTGGGACTGCACTCCTCCTCCACCTGTTGGATTTTCCACTCTTGATTTCTGAAGAGCTCCTAAACTTACTCCTCCTCTTTATATTTTCCCACAGAACTCCTAAATTTACTCCTCCTTTTTGATACTTTCCCATTTCCATTAAGAGTATCAGTTTTCTCTAAGTCATCATTTAACTTCTCTTCTGCTTACCTTGTCACAGACAATTAAGTCATCAAGTTCTACCAATTGTTTCATCACGATTGCATGAACATGTCACCGAATTATAGAGGTAGGTGGAACACTGTAGGTCACTGATTCTAATTTCCTAGTTTTATAGGTGAAGAAACTGAGGTCCACAGCTGACCAAAGTCATAAAACCAAGAAACAGTAGTTAGGTCAAAACTCCGAGATATCGTATAACATTTTAGCTTTCTCCATCAGATGAGTATTTCTCCCTCTCTGGTATAAAATATGGAGTCTTTGTGTGGCACTGCTGTAGGATAAGCAGTGAACTTCTAACCACAAGGTTGGTAGTTCAAACACACCAGCTGCTCCTCAGAAACCATATACAGGGTTGCTAAGAGTGGGAACCGACTCAATGGCACTAACAACACCACCATAAAATTCAGTTTGAATCCACCAGCCATTCCATGAGCTCAAGACGAGGTTTTTTGCTCCAGTTAAGATTTACAGCCTTGGAAATCCTATACAGGGTCACTAAGAGTTGAAACCAACTCCACGGCACACCACCACCACCACCAAATCCTATGCAGTGTCACTATAAGAGTCGAAACCAACTCCACGGCACACTACCACCACTTCCGAAGATTTACGGCCTCAGAAACCCTATACAGTGTCACTTAAGATTTGGAACCAACTCCACGGCACACCACCACCACCACCAAAGATTTATGGCCTCAGAAATCCTATGCAGGGTCGCTATGAGTTGGAAACCACTCAACAATATGCAGCAGCAGCAGCAGCATAAAGTGTCATCACCTCTTCCCAACTATTTCATTCCTCTCTTTTTCACTTGCTTAAAAACACCCACTCACTCCCATGTAAACTATCGCTCAATTCACAATGAAAACCTTAAAAAACAAAAACAAAAAAACACCCGCACATATATCTCTAGCCTTCAAAATTCTAAAACTGCTCTTCATGGTGGTTATGTGTTCACACTTTGGGAACTGCTGATCCATTATATGTATGTTTCATAATTGATTTAACTATTTTCCAAAATTGGAAATTTAAGCTATTTCCAGCATTTCTAAATCTAAATAATTCTTTAAAAGCTATCACTGTGCATAAATTATTGACTGTCTATGATTTACTTACAATAGATTCATAACAGAATTACTAGGTCAATTGCTAAGGACATGTTTTTCATGGTGCTATTGTATTTCAAGGAGTCCTCGTGTGCACTGTAGGATCAGTACTGGACAGCTAACCACAAAGTTGGCAGTTTAAACCCACTGCCACTCCTTGGAAATCCTATTCAGGGTCACTATGTGTCAGAACTGACTCAACAGCACTTTACAACAACACTGCATTTCATTAGTATTTAGGAAGAGTAACCATAGTCTTTTTTTATTCCCCCTGAGTATTAAACTTGTCCATTTCTCAGATGTTGGCCAGGATAATCTAAATTTACTTTGATATTGGAGAGTATTATTCACGAAGAACTACTTACCACTGTTAGCATACAGTGTTGTATAGTGGGTAAGAGAATAAGCTCTAAACTGCCTATTTGAATCCAAGCCCAGACTACCTGCTAAATAATCTTTGAGAAAAATCAATCCCTCTCTGCCTCAGTTTCCTCATCTATAAAATGGGGATTCTGTAAAATAAGGATGGTAACAATCTTATTTCTTAGAGTCTTAGGAGTATTACATGAATTAATGTACATACAGCGCTCAGAACAGTGCCTCTTATAGTAACAGACACTGCATACTTTTGATGTGCCCAGCGCCCTGCGGGATTGCTTTATACATATTATCACACACAGTGCAAATAAGGTTTTCACTATTCCCATAATGAAGGTGATTTTGGAGAACCACACAAGAAAACCTATTTTCTGTAAATGAAACTTACTTTTGCTTTAACACTGCTCTTAAAGCATCTTTCTGTCCCATGGTATACTGAGAAATAAAAATGTCATTTGCTGTAAAATTAAAACACAAAAATGTACTTCAGATTCCTGAAAATGCATTAAATTTTAATAAACTACTCAAAGAAAACCATTTTTAAACTAAAAGAATGTTTAGGAATTTGGTAATATGATTTATCAACACAAAACAGGGCAAGGGACAAATTAAGTCACTACCAATAGTCATAATCCCAGGGGTTGGGGGGTGGGGAGGGGAATCTATTAGTAAAACCTGGGGCCAAATTGGAGACACTACCTAAAGATCTAGCGTAGTGGTTACGAATCGGGCTGCGAACCTTAAGGTCAGTGGTTCGAAACTACCAGCCGCTCCATGGGAGAAAGATGAGGCTTTCTACTCCCGTAAAGATTTACACCCTCGGAAACCCTGTACAGGGTCGCTACGGGTCGGAACCAACTCGATGGCACTTAACAACAACAACCTAACGATCTAAAGAAAAAAATTGCTTAGAATAAAATAAATATATGCATTTATCATCAGATAACTAAAAATTGTGAATCTATTATCTAACCAAAGGCAACTAAATAATGAAATTAGCATTTATTAACAGATATTTAAGGAGTTCTGGTGGTGCAATGGTTAAGCTCTAGGCTGCTAACCAAAGGTTGGCAGTTCAAACCACCCAGGTGCTCTCCCTCTGTAAAGACCACAGCCAAGAAGACCCTATGGGGCAGTTCTACTCTGTCACATGGGATTATTAGGAGTAGGAATTGACTTGATGGCAAACAACAATAAAAAGGTATCCAACATAAAACCTACACCGTATGTCTGTTATATTAAAACTTCTTTTACCACTACAAACATTTTTCTGGATTTAGAGATTCTATTAATAGCGTAATTTGAAAGGAAAAATGAATTAAAAATTAAAATAATAAGAAAAAAAATTAAAAATATGTATTAAAGAATGTTTAAAAACGAACTCTATCAATTTACCTGATAGAGTTAATTAAAACATGAAAATTATAAGACAGTTTAATAAATGTCTAAAAATCAATTCTATCCTTTTACCTTTCTGTTTATTGCTTTCTTCTGTTTTATACAAAGGCAACCCTTGTGCTGTAACATCTTTAGAAAAATCCTTCATCATGAAAAGAAAGACATGAAAGATTAGTATACATTTTACTATGAGTTTTTAACAAAACTGATAGTCCCAAACAATTTAATTCTTAATTTACCAGCTTCAATTTTCAGGACATTGTGAAACTCTCTTATCCAGATGTGTTAAACTGGCAGGACTGAAGTCAACATTACAACTAGTGGTCAAAGCCTAATATGATGCACTCATGACCAAACACACTGCATGCATCTTTAAACATGTTCAACATTATAAAAAAAAAAAGAACATGAGAATTTCATATTGTTATTTCTTAAAGACCCAAAACAAAAAGACCTCACAAATAGTTTGAATTCTGTACAAAGGGGCTTCAAAAAATTCACGGAAAATTCAATGACTTTTTAAAAAGAATTTTAAACAACATATGAAACGCAGCTGCAGTGTAGATTTATTTAGATGAGAAGCAACACAACTGAGGTTCACAGAGAATAGACTGCAGAGATGAACGCTGGCTAAAAGATGCCCAAAAGCTACACAGAAAGGCAGAAGTATCAGAATCAGGACCCCTGTAAGTTAGCAATGAGTCAAAGGTGTGTCCTGGTCTCATGAGTGCTCTGGGCTCTAGATATTTCCACTTTTCTGTTAATTCCAGTTTTTTTTGGCAAATACTTTGAAGCCCCTTGTGGAATCACACTTGATTTTTTATTATTTTTAAATTGTGTTGGTATTATCCCTACCTTTATCTAACAGTATGTAAAGGTTCTCTCTCATACAGAATATCCTTTCCCTAGATCATAGCAGGTTATTCTCAGTTATTTCTCACAGTGGTCATTATCATACTAATAGGTATTTCAATTCTATGTAAAGTCAATTTTTAAATGTTTCCAACACTATTCAAATCATAATTCAAGTGATCTGAATGAAAGCCTATTGCTAATGAAACATAATTTAAGAACATTATTTGATAATACTGAAAGATTTAACAAGAACATAATTAAAAATCTTTTTGCTTACACTTTCTGACATGGTGAGATTTTCAAATGGAAGCTGGTTATAATTTTTAGCAGAAGTTAAATCTGATGAACCTAACAAAACAAAGAAATTGATTTTAGTGATTTTTAAATCAAAACTTTACTTTTTAAAGGTGTATAAGCATGATTCTTCAAGAACTATAAACTCCCTAATGTTATTTGTTAAGTGCCGTCAAGTGATTTTAACTCACAGCGACCCTGTATAGGATTTCCAAGGAATGGTTGGTAGGTTTGAACCACTGACCTTGTGGTTAGCAGTCTAGTTATTATCCCACAGCACCACATCAGGATCCCAACTCTATAAAAGAGGACTCAAATAAAAACCCACTTCCGTAATGCAAAATTTTAACCCAGATGGAGACCTGGTTGGCCAGCAGTGTGCCAAGTCCAGGGAACTCTTGGACCCAGAGTTAGCGACATAGCCACAGAGGACTAGAGTGGAGCTCTAGCTAATAAGAAGAGAGGGCACATGCGTAAGTACACCCACACTTGCAGATAATACCCACTTGACCTGGCTTCAATGGCTGGATGATCAGAGCTCAAACAGAAGAAAGAAGAAGGAAAAAAGAATAATCTGACACAATTTGGTGAACTTGACACACACCTATGGAAGCAATAGCTCAAAAGAGTGAACAAATTTTCACAGCGATGATCATTCCCATCTCCACCACACACAAGGACGGGTAACTTGGACACTGGCTACCCAGAATGGGGTGGGGCTACAGAGGCAAGAAGTAACTGGCTTATAAGCTTTCAAGAGGGAACCTAGACTCAGAGGGCATGGAGCAAGGTAGACTCTCCACTGAGAAGTACCCATTCTGCCTAGTCAGGGCTGATAAAAGGAGATGCGGACAGGTCCCTTAGAACACAATAGTGAATAATTGTTATGAGGACTGATTGTAAAGAGCTGGAAATGTAAAGGTGGCCGTTTTGGGGCAAAGGGAGGGGAATGATTAACCTTACAGTCTAGGAATGGAGGTCCCTGGTAACATCGAAAGAGAAGAGCAGAGAACAGAACCCTACTCAGAGAAGCAGTGATGCCAGGGATGGAGGCAGAGATGATGACATGGGGAGATGGAGCAGCTGGAGACTTTGGACCTGGAGAGAGAGAGAGGGGCGGTGTGCGGACGACAAGGGGGCAGGCTTGCAGGGTATACCCTTTGGGTGGTGGATGATGCATGGAAAGGATTGTAACCATGGCAAGGAAACATATGACAAGATCAATGTGAAGCTGATGTCCTTCCATGTAAACTATCACATAATTCACAATAAAGCATTAAAAAAAAAAGTCAGTACTGACAATCAAGTGAAATAAGTATAAAATGTTTTACAGCAGTATATGTTAGGTTTGAACAAACTAGGGCTTTTATCATTTGCCAGAAATAAATTAGGTAGATGAGGTACAAACATGATTTAACAGTAGCCCATGATGTACCCCTAGAACAGCAGTATGGAAGCTTTGTGTTGTTTTTACACATATGCTCATTAATTTGATCCTTACAAGTACCCTGTACTTTTCACTGATTTCCAGACAAGTTAAGCGACTTTGAGTATGGAGCCATCAAATAGCAGAAATTGTTTTTTTCCACCATGCCAAACTGGATAACATCAACCAAACAGAAAGTCAAGCATTTGTTAAAAAGCACTGCAGGTAAACTTAGGCACATCATACAAGTGCATCCAACACAGATATGAACAAGAACAGTGTGCAAAAATCACACACACACACAAGGCATAACCAAGAATGTTCAAAGTTTTATTCATTCAACCTATTCAACTAACACTTTGTATACTGTTTATGCCTGGCTTGTTCCTCACTGAAAACTGTCAATTTTCAAACAAATGTGCAAACTAAACATAGTTTACTTTTCAGAATTTATGCATTAGGGATACTCTATATTTTGAAACAAAAAAACGAAGTGAAAATAAGGTCCTAAATTGCAAAAATGATAATCGAGTGAAAACCTATATGGAATTACATACCATGTAATGTTCCATTCAAGCCAGTCCCCGTTTTAACAGTAAGATTTTTATTTGCTGGCAACGCAGGAGGAACATAGGGCAAATCTTCTTTCAGCAAAACCGAATTATCTTCAAGATTTGAAGAAACGACCTCACGAAGTCTCCTCGCTGGTATTTGAACCTTTTTTTTCTTTTCCAGGCTAAATTCAGAGCCTTTCATATTGTTGGTAATAAAACTCCTCCCTCAATTCTGATGGAAGAACTTTCTTCTGTTTCTAAGACTTCAGAATTAAATGTTCACCACTTTGAGGACTAGAGTAGAAGGGGAGCCGAGGAAGAGAACACAAGAGTATTATGACAAATAAACTTGGGAACGTGCAAGCATCAACTTTCAAACAAAACGATGTCTTAACAGAGTATCCACAAAACTGGGTATTTACATTTTTGTGTTTATCGCAGAATTGGGAGACAACGAAAACGTCTTATTTACCCATTAATCCCAGTCTATTTTTGCACCCTGCCAATAGTCTGAAAATGGAGGTAGCAAAGAATGGTCACAAGAGTAATAATCATCATCCTAAAACACAATGCACTCCTCAGCCCTAGAACTGACCGTGCAAAACCAAGCAGATGTGGAGGCGGGGTTAAGATTTGTGAAGTCAAAATGAGATAGTCAAGCAGGTAAAAGTGAACTAGTGAAAAAACAAACTTTTTAAAAATACTCACATAAGGAGCTTAGCTTTCTTCGGCCAGAAAGTCTCAAACAGCCCTTCGGATGCAACCATCCAACACCCACATTCACCACTCCTGGTCTCTAAACTCCAACAACCGCACAGCCACCAGTCCAACCAAGAAACAGCTTCAGTTGCCCGCGGGTCAACACCCACTTCCCTTTAAGCCCGCCCGTGAGATACAACACGCATGCGTGACAAGAACAGCATCTAAAGCATCCAATAAAAAAGCTGAGTGCTTAGCAGTGCTCTTCCATCGCTTTTCCGGTAGAAACAAACTCCCGACGTAAAACATCTAAAACAGGTGTGAATGCGGTTAGGGTTTTTTTGTTTGTTTTTTTTTTTTAATTGTTGTTATTACCGAAGAGCATTGCCCCATTAAGACGTAAGCTTTGAATACAACCCGAGTCATTGGAGACCTGTTCGATCTAACTGGTAACATAACGCGTTTTTATTAGGGAGTGTTTACAGTGTAACTCCTGGAGACCGTTGAAGCCGTAGGATTAAGTAAATTAGCCTACCAAAGTGTTGCTTCAGATTCAGACTGATAATTGGCGAGGAAGTCAGAAATAGAGGGCAATGGAAGCAAAACATCAGAAATAATAATTCGAGTGAGATTTTATAATTCGCTTGTGGTATCGCCTTTTCCTTGTGTGTTTTCCATTGTTGCAACGAATCGGCGTCTCTTGAGTTTATGCTATTTGCCGTCGCCGCTCCCACGTGTTCTTTCCCTTCCAGCGGCCGCAGCGCTCCCTCTGACCCTGGCCCTTGCCCACAGAGACGCCTGGCAGCTCAGCTCCCGCAGACTCGTGTATGTGTTGGATGCGGGAACCTGTGTTTAAGTATGGCTGTTTTCTCTGCCTTCTGAATCCCGCGGGGTAGAAGGGGGCGGAGGCAGGTTATGGTACGGAAAAGTGGCGGGGTCGCTGGAGGAGGCCGCCGCCTGTACATGAGGCTCTGGGGAGTTACGGAGCCAGCCTGTACCTCTCCGGGGCTTGTTCGGGACTGGCGTGGGAACGGTGCCGCCGTGGTGAGGATACAACTTGAGGCTCTGAGCCGCTCTGAATCCGGGTTTGGGGACACAGATTGTAAGGCACTCGCGCCGTGACCTTGCTCTGACAGGCAGGAGACCCTCTTTAACTAGAAAAAATGTCTGGACTGAGTACCGGGGCCAACACGCCTTCCCTGGTGTGTTAATTTTTCGAGGACTCCATAGTTAGACAGTTTCCTTATACTTTACTGGTGGCTTTTAAAATATTAAAGCAAAATATGTGGCCTGGTTTAAACGCTAAATAACCAGATTTATTTATATCTTAGATGTCTGCTTTCATAGAAGAAATCGGCCGTCTTTGACGAAGCCCTTAATTATTCTTTGCACCTTGACGGGTTTTTTATAATTTTTTATTTCAGTTACATTTTCCCCTTTATGACTGGTTTCTTAGGCAGTACCTGTTTGTTCACAGTTTCGTGTATAGTATGTTGTTAAGTGCCTTCGAGTCGGTTCCGATTCATTGCAACTCTGTATATAGGGTTACCGAGAAGTGGCTGGTGGGTTTGAACTGCTGACCTTGTAGCCCAGTGCTAATCCTACCATGTGACTCCAGGAGCCCATATATAGGGTGGATATTAAAAACAATTACAGTGTCAGAATTGCATGAGACCTTGGAGGTGATTGTTGTTGTTGTTGTTGTTAGGTGCCATCAATTCGATACCGACACCTTATGCACAGCAGAACGAAACACTGCTGGATCCTGGGCCAACCTCACTACTGTTGCCACACTTGAGTCCATCAATGCTGCCACTTGGCCATTCCATCTCGCTGGGGATCTTTCTCTTTTTCTCTGATCCTCCACCTTACCAAACATGTTGTCTTTCTCCAGCGACTGGTCCTTCCTGACAATATGCCCAAAGTATGAGAGACAAAGTTTGGTCATCTCAGCCTACAAGGAGCACTCTGACTGCACTTCTTCCAAAACAGATCTGTTGGTTCTTTTGGCAGCCCATGGCACTTTCAATTTTCTTCTCCAACACCAAACTCAAAAGCATCAATTCTTCTACGGTCTTCCTTATTCACTGTCCAACTTTCGCATGCATGTGAGGTTACTGAAAATAACCTCAATGAGAATTAAGGAAGGTGATTGAACTTCCTTAATTATAGGTATCAGAGAAAAAGTTATCTTTATAGTCTCCAAATTCTGAAAACAGGTCTTCTTCACCAGTTGGGCACTGAAAAGAATGTTTTCAATAAATTGAATTGGGTCTCCTTGTAGTGTGTCATCCTGTGTGGCACTGTAAGATAAGCACTCGACCACAAGGTCAGTTTGAACTACAAAGTTGGCGGTTCAAACTCACCAGCTGCTCCTCAGAAACCTTATCCAGGTTCAATCACTATGAGCCATGAGCTGGAACAGTCTCAACCGCATTTAATAGTAACAGTGGATCTGTGGGTAAAACCCAAGCAATATCTAAGATTGTTGTTCCTCTGTGTCCTTGGTGAATCTAATCCAGTCCTCCCAGATTGATGATCTTATGTCCCTGAAGTCAACCTTTCAATCTGAAAGCTATATACAGTAGTCTTTAAACGTCATTGTGGAAGGACTCAGTGGCATACCCACTAGTTACTAGAGGTGAGACAGACGTGGCAGTCAGCTTCCATTAAGATTTACAGCCTTGGAAACCTCTCGGGCAGCTCTGCTGCGGTAGAACTGCCTTACGGTTATTATAAGTCAGAATCAACTCCATGGGAGTGGTTTGGTTTGGTTAAAAGCTGAAGTTGCTAATAAATCTGACAACTTCCTAAACGTGTTGTAAATAATCTAAAGTGAAAGGACATGTAATAGAGGCCTATTGTATTAATCCAACAGATTAATTCTGGTGGATTTAAACATTGTTGTTAAGTGCCATTGAGTTGGTTCTGATCCATAGCGACCCTGTACAGGGTTTCTAAGGAGTGGCTGGTAAACTTGAGCCACCGACCTTGCGATTCAAACCCACATTGTAGTCCAGCGCATTAATGCACAGCACCACATCAGGTCTCCAGATTTAGACATTTGTTGTTGTTGTAAATGCTATCGAGTCGATTCTGACCCATAGCGACCCTGTATAGGGTTTCCAAGGAACAGATGATGAGCTTGAACTGCCGACTTTGCAGTTTGGCGCATTAGCCCACAGCACCACACCAGGACTCCAGATTTAGATAATCAGACATAGGAAATAAAAACATTGATAGTCCTGGAACAAAAAAACATAGTTTACAAGATTTTTTTTTTTGGTGTCTTTTTTTATGTTAACATTTTTTCATTTGCTTTCTTTTTCTATATGTAGATACACTTTTTGCTGAACCATATTCAAGTAAATTGCAGGCATCATGAACTTTAACCATTTCTTCAGCATTTCACAGTAAGAGTATACCTAGGGAGATTAATGTATTCAAATTTCCCAGTGATTCCTAAAGTGTCTTTATCTCAGGGCATGTTTTGTGATTCAGGATCCAGTCAGGGTTGACACATTATTTTTTATAATCATGATTCTTTAATGACTTAATCTAGAGCAGCTGCTCTCTGTTTTCTTTTTAACTCTCAAAGACCAGGCCAAGCTTATGAATTATCCCATATTGTAGATTTTCCTGCTTATTTCTTGAATGATTAGCACCAAGCCGAAGTACCACATAGATTGTGTTCTTATTGTATCCCATCAGGAAACACACCTCAGAACCCACAAGTTTTGATACAGTACTAGGTTTAATCATGTGGATAAGGTAGTAACTACCAGATGTTTCCACTGTAAAGATACAGTTTTTCTTTTGCAATAAGTAAACTGTGGAGATACTTTGAGACCATGATATATCCTGTTCCCCAGTAACCTATCACCCAGTGTCTCTTATCATCCTTTCATGATCCTTGCCTGAATCACAGAATTACCAATTGCATCATTTTATTTAGCTTCACAATAGTGTATTTTTTACAAATTGAAGGTTTATGACAATCCTTCCTCAAGCAAGTCTGTTGGTTCCATTTTTCCAGCAGCATGTGCTCATTCGTGTTCCTGTCATATTTTGGTAATACAATATTTCAAACTTTCTCATAATGTGGCATTGTAGGATAAGCACTGAACTGCTAACTGCAGGTCAGTGACTCAAACCCACTAGCCGCTCCTTGAAAATTCTTTATGGGGTCAAAGAGTCTATTCTATGAGTGGGAACTGGCTTGACATCACTTAACAACAACACTGCATATTTAATAGACTTTTGTTGTTAAGTGCTGTCAAGTCATTTCCAACCCATAGTGACCCTGTGTAGGGTTTCTGAAGCTTTACATCTTCTAGAGAGCAGAAAGCCTCATCTTTCTCCCACAGAGCAGCTGGCTGGTTCAAACTGGCAACCTTCTGGTTCATTTACAGTCCAGTGCTTATCTTACAGAGCTACAAGTATTCTAGTGTTGTTGTTGTTGTTGTCAGGGGCCATCGAGTCAGAACCAACTCATAGCGACCCCATGCACAGCAGAACGAAACAATGTCCGATCCTGGGCCAACCTCATTACCGCTGCCACACTTGACGCCATCAATGATGCCACCTGGCCAATCCATCTCATTGGGAGTCTTCCTCTTCTTCTCTGACCCTCCACCTTACCCAGCATGACATCCTTCTCCAGCGACTGTTCTCTCCAGACAATGTGTCCAAAGTAGGAGAGACGAAGCTTAGCCATCTTGGCCTCCAAGGAGCACTCTGGTTGCACTTCTTCCAAAACAGATCTGTTGGTTCTTTTGGCATTCCATGGCACTTTCAGTATTCTCCTCCAACACCACAACTCAAAGGCATCAATTCTTCTACGATCTTCCTTATTCACTGTCCAGCTTTCGCATCCATATGAGGCTATTGAAAACACCATGGCCTGGGTCAGGCACACCTTAGTCCTCAAGCTGACATCTCTGCTCTTCAATACTTTAAAAAGTTCCTGTGCAGCAGATTTGCCCAATGCAATACGTCGTGTGATCTCTTAAACGCTGCTTCCGCGAGTGTTGACAGTTGATCCAAGAAGAATGAAGTCCTTGACAACTTCAGTCTCTTCACCATTGATAAGAATTCTGTGTATTGGTCCAGTGGTGAGGATTTTTGTTTTCTTAACATTGAGATGTAATACATATCGAAGGCTGTGCTCTGTGATCTTCATAAGTATATGTTTCAAGGCCTCTTCACTATCAGCAAGCAAAGTTGTGTCATCAGCATATCGCAGGTTGTTAATGAGCATAAATAATTTGTATATGCACTGATAAACCAAAAAACTC